CCAGGGCTGGAGCCTGGTGCCTGCGCAGGGGCCAGTGGGCTGGGTCACAGGCAGATCAGAGCTGTGGAGCTGGTGCTACAACAAAAGGTATTTGCATTAGATAATGGTAAAGTGTCTTGTTATTCCATTAACTGTGTAGCAATGACTGCAGCAGAAGGTGGGAGTGCTGGAAACCCACAAGACAGGCAGGGGATGAGATTGCTAACCACCAATCAGCCTGGGGACTTCATGAGGGCCCACCAGCCTGCACAGGAGTTGCAGAGGGCTACCTTTGGGCAGAAGGGAGTGGGTGAGGCTGGGCCACAAGGCAAGGATCCAGATGGCTGCAAAAACAAGAAGCACATCCTCGACTCCACCAGTGTCCCCTGATAGAGTTCTGAGTACCCAGGACCTGGGCTGATGACAACCCTGGTATTCAGCCTCCTATGTAAAAGCTAAGGCGCTGAGCCAGTGGGAAGGGGATGGAATCACAGCCCACCTTTTACAAAGTGCTGAGGTGTACATGTACTTGGCCTTGCAGGGCTTTGAAAAAAATGAGATGATACTATTATAGCTCATAGATTAAGGCTATATCATCATCTAACATCATCTAACAAATCCCATGGAGTCCCTACATGCCAAGCACTTTCTAGCTTCTAGAGATCCAGTGAAGAACAATATGACTTTGATAAAAATTTCATCCCAGTGGAGAGGGGAACAAAAGATCATACAAATGCTAGAAAATGATAAGAACTATGAAATGTGGAAATGAGATAACAGGTGGGTATGGGCAGGGAGTATTTTAGAGAATGCTGAGGGAAGGCCACACCAAGCAGGTGACATTGGACTTAATGGGCTCATTCAAGGTGGGGAGACCAATGTGGCTGAAGCAGAGTGGGCAGCTAGGACAGTATGGGTTGAGGATGCAGAGGAAGGAGGGACTGGTCACATACAGCATACCGGCTTAGTATCTGGGTTTGATTTTAAGCATGATGGCAGCCCCTGGAAGTTTAAAGCAAGGGAGGGACATGATCTAATTTCAGTTGTTCTAAAGCCTCTGGTTGCTGGTGAGGGATGATTGAGGGGCCTGTGGGTACAGGGGTACAGAGAGGAGGCTCTGATAGTGGTGGATGAGGGTAGAGCAGGGGAAGATGGGAAAAGGTGGTAAATGAACAGGGCTGGGTTTTAAAGGTGCTGCCAACAGATCCCGCTAGTGATGATGGAGTAAGAAAAAGAAAGTGGACAAGGAAGATCAGAGTCAAATGAGGCTGTGTCTGCTGGGAAAGGGCTTATTTAGATGGCACATGATACATGGCAAGTGCGTGTTACATACTGACCTTCAAAAAAGCACTGTAGTCTGCACCAAGCACAGCCTTTCAAAGGGACCAGCCCCACAGATCACCAAGAGCAGTACTTCTGGTCCTTACTTTCCAGGGTGGGTCAGTTGACCTCAGAGGGAAGAACAGAAGACTATCCGTGCTAGGAGGGGTCAGGCAGTCATGTCTAATGTGTGCAGTGAAATATATTAGGTAGGGATTTGCCCAAGGTCACTGGGCTTCTTAGGGGCAGAACAAGGATAGGAAACAAGTCTCCGGATTCTGTGAAATCCTCTCTAGGATCTGCAAAGTCTGCGATTCCCAGGCATGAATCCTGGCAGCACCTTCCTGCACATCTGCTGAGCCACAGGCACTGAAGTCTGTTTCCTGACCTCTCTTGGGGACCACATGCACAATTGCTATAGCAGAGTCCAACCTCAGAGCCTCTGCACTTTCTCTTTCCTCTTCCTGAACCTTACCATGACTGCTGCAGGTCACTTGTCCCCTCTCCATCTCTCACCCCAGAGTCCTGTTTCCCCCGAGCTGAGCAGGAGCTCAGGCCATCCAAGGGTCAGGTCATTACCACTGCCTTATCTCCTTCCATAGCTGACGGGGAAGAAGGCATCCTCAGTCTTATGCCAGGGGTGGCTGGCATGGCTGCCTGACCCCACTCCTTAGCACTACAAGCCCCCATATGAATTGGCTTTGGCTTCTGGTGGCCATGCCATACAGGGCCACTTTTCCTGCTGGGACAGAGCCCAAGCAGAATCTCCCTTTCACTTTCCTCACCCTGCTCAGATATGAGTCAGGGAATGTCCCATGAACAATCTTCCTCTCTTCTCCTCTCCAGTCATGAGAGCACGAATAGGCCGGACCTGGCAGACGAGGAGAGGAGGAGCCAGTCTCCAAACTGCCTCTTCCTGGAAGGTCTGCCAGGAGCTTCAACCAACAGGCAACCTTACTCCTGTGCTTCAGGGTCCAGCCTTGTTCTAGCCCACACTCAGGACATGGGCTTTATGCTTAACCCCAAAGCAGTCCATGCCTCACTTGAGGCCAAGTTCAGACAAGAGGCAATCACGGGCTTAAGTGGCTGCCAGAGAAGGCCAGCCGCTGGTTATTAAATATTAAGTGGCGAAAGCCTGGGAACATATAATTGCAAATGAGAGTCCAAACCAGATATTGCCAACAGCTTGGACCCATGTTCACAGTTGAGACCAACAGGGGACTTCAAGTCACCAAGCCAGGCTGTTGGCAACTTCTCTGCATTTTCTAGGTACCTGCTGGGTGCTAGGCCTTGAACTAAATGCTGCAGGTAAAAGGCTGACCAGACATGATAGCACCTTCAAGAGGTCCCGTGTTTGGTGAAGAAGACAAAGTAAGCAAAAACTCACAGGCACAGGCAACCCTAGGCATGGTACAGGCCTGGAAGAGCCTAGGGAACTGAGGCTTCAGAGAGAAAATGATCTTCCTTTAAAGGATATCAATCAGTAGTCAATCAACAACTATTCATTTAATGCCTCCTGCATTCCAAATGTTATAGATTCTGGGAAATAAAGTATTAGATAAGTCAAACCCTTTCACTCCTGGCACTTACAACTGAGCGGGAGCTGGCACAAATAAATAAGGATTTCCACCATAGAGAAGTGCAAAGAGGAAAGAGTCTGTGAGAAGTGAAGACTCTAATGTGGCTGGACATATGTGGGAGAGAGGGAGGAAAGCTGTCAGGCTAAAGACCCTGGGTGAGTTCTGGGGGATTTCAAAGTACAGTGGAGTGACCTCTCTCAGGGACAGTGCATGGCTCCTAGGGCTCTTGAGAAAAGACACAGTCTGATCTGGTCTAAGTCTGCTGTCTTGAGAAGCAATAAGAGGAAGGACACACCCCAGGGACACCTTGCCTACTAAGGCTGCCGGGTTAGCTTCCCACTCCAACCTACACCATGACGCGGATTACACAGTCTCTATCTCTGAAGGATCTTGCAAGAGCCAAGTTCCACCCTGTTACTCTCACCTGCAGGCTGCTTCCCCAGCTCCTGAACTGCTGGAAACATATCCTGGGGACACAGGAACCTTTATGTTGCTGGAAGCACAGTCCCTGTAGAAGGTGGCAGGGAGTGATATGAGATCCCAGACCACACAGGCAACAAGTTCTTGTTGAGTGAGGGAAGATTCCAGTTCAACATCTCCCAAAAGGTCCTAGCTGGTTGGACCTCTCTCCACTGCCCTGGAGGGACCTGATGAGCTTTCAAGGTCATTCCCTGACCACGAGCCTATATGAAGAAAGGGCAAAAAACAGGAGGAAGAACTGCATTTGAAGATGCCAAGACTCCAGGAGGATTCCAATCCTTGAATATGGTTCCAGGAGTCTAGCATTGCATTAGGCTGAGACTAGAATTCTATTGATCTAAAAATGCTACAATTCTAGAATTACGTGATTTGGGAAAACATCATAGCCATCTCCTCTTCTTAATAGAAGGCATGCCTCTGGAGAGAAGCACACACCCAGAACTGCAAAGTCAAGCAGACTTGTTTCCCCCTTTTCTGCCTTTAAATCATCTCACTCCTCTCCTTCGTGTGTGCTCATCTGCACACCCTCTCCCAGGCCCTCCCCCAAGCCTGGCAGCCACGCATTTGCCATCTGCATATAACCCAGTGATTAGCGCTGTGGAGCAGGAGAGGAGGGTGTGGAACCCTTGCTGCCTGCCAGTCAGCCAGGCTGCAGGGAGTCACCCCAGCTCCCCAAAAGAGCTGAGCAAGGGCGGAGAGACAAGATACAGTCACACCGACTCAGATGCACACACAGCAAGACACACAAAAGAAGGTCCCAGGCTCACAGACATATAAAGGCATGGAGAGACACACATGCCACACACGGACGTCACAGGCAGCACACATCTGCATGTGTATGACATTTATACATGTGCAAACAACCAGAAACACACAACCCTATAGTGACACATACTCCAACACACAGGCATGCAAGAACACAAAGGCATGCATAGCACACATGGATACTGGCAAATGCAGAGACAGACAGACACACACACACACACACACACACACACATGCAAACAAGCCCAAGCCCATAGATACATGCTCAGTTACACAGATCTCACCTCCCCAGGGGAACAATAGCACTGAGCTGTCAGCGCTAAATGAGTTACCAGGAGAGTCACCCTTCCCATCCTCATCTCCCACTCCCACTCATTCATGGGCCATTATTTAAAGACTACTAGGCACACAACTTGGCACTGGGCCCTTGGGGGATCCCAGGGCAGACACAGTAGAGTGGAGGTGGGGAGCAGTTCACTCAGGCCCTGGGAGCTGGGAAGAAGCTGGAACCCAGGGAGCTACACAAAACTGATTGCCCAAAAAGGTAGTGAGCTCCCCACCAAAGGAGGCAATCTAGTACTCCAGAGGACTTTGTGAATCAGAAGGGTGAGTGGACGCTTGAGGGGACTGAAGGCCTTTAAAATCCCTTCCAGTCATGATATTCCTATTTCTATCAATTCTGCTGGGCTTCAAAACAATGGTATTCCAAATTTTTGTGCATTTGCATTCCTTATTAGTGAAAACACTTTAAACATGCACTCCAATGTATGCATAGGTGTTCATTTCAATATATTTTACACTAAAATATAATTGCTAGCACACACACAGAAATAGAAAAACTTGAAATAATGAAATAAAAATACATAGATCATTATGTTAAGGAACAGGTAGAAATCAAAGAAAGTGATGTAACATTTATTGAGTACCTCTTGTGTGCATATTTTCATACATATTATTCCTCTGAATCTTCAAAACAGCCCCATAAAGAGGCTATATTGTTTGTCCATTTTCCAGGTGAGAAACTGAATGACAGACAAGTGAAATGCTCTGCCCTCTTTCCAGCCACCTGTACCTGGCAGGGCTTGAAGCTGGACCTCCCCGGGCTGGCTGGCTCCAGAGTCCTCCAGCCACCCTTGGGCTCCACACCATGCTGGGACAGAGTGGCACTTGCACAGAGCTAGGGAAAGACCCATCTGGGTTTTGGGGATAACAGTTGCAAAGCTGGAGCCCTGGGTTTGGCAAGAGGTTCTGCATGGTGTGTCAAGTGCCTGGAGTGACAGCCTTGAACCTGAGCAGCTGGATATAGTCAGCTCTTTCCTTTGTCCTTGCTACTCAAAGTGCAGTCCAGGGACCAGTAGCTTGAGCCTCCCCTGGAGTTTGTTGGAGATGTGCTACGGCCTCACTCAGGACGTGGTAAGTCCGAATCTGCATTTAACAAAAATAAGGTTGGAAAAGCCTGAACTCCTGGTCTGGGAGTCTAACCCCTCAGGATTACAGAAAGATGGGGAGTGAGCACAATTGTGGTCATTCTGGGGGCTCCTTCATCTCCAGTTTTCCCAGTTCTGGGATCTTAAAGAGTCTCTGGGCATTTGATGTGGCTTCTAGGAATGTCCCCCTGCTGCTTGCCATGGAGCTCCTTACCTCATCCCCCATAGCTCCCTTTTCTTAAAGGAAAAGCTGATGCCTTCTTAGGCCTGTGAGGCCCCCCAACTGGGCCCTGCTCCCTCTCTGTCCCCCGGTCTACCCTGTCTCCATCCTCCTCATTCACACTGCCATTGCACTAATTGGGCTCAGTGCTGGCTGCCCTTTCACCTGGCGTCCTGTAGCTCTTGTGCTCACTTCCTTCAGGAAGCTCCAGTCTCATGAGTGTCTCATTTCCAGCACTTGGCCTGACCCTTGGGCCAGAGTAGGTGCCCAGTAAACATTTGCTGATCGAATAGAGCTGTGCCCCTGTCCGACCTTTCCTTGGAACCTTCTGTCCCTAAGTACCAAGAAGCTATGGGGTCTGAGGTAAGGGCAGAGGCCTTGGGACCCATGTCCAGCTTTCTGGGGCCACCATGAGGCCAGTCCTGTGGGCTAGAGTGGTGTTCTAGTAGAGTGCTAGCCTGAGACCCTTTGGCATCTCTAACATTCTCACTCTCTCCCTAGCCTCTGCCTGTTCTCCCTGGCATCATCTCTATTACAGACTGCACTGGATACAAGCCCTAACTTTGGGCATTCTTCTGACTAAGTCCCTGTAGTACCTGTTTTCAAAGCCCAGCTTCTTGCTTGCAGGTGGGGAGAGAAACACTAGGAGAACCATGCAGAAGGAGATTCTCCAACGTGGCCTCTGGCATCCACAGACAGAGAGCCCTTGGTCACCCCTTTTCCCCGCACCTCCATCTCCTTATCTGTTCTGTGGCTGCAACTACTTTCTTTGCTGGAGGAGTGAGCCACATTGACAGAGGAAATTCTTAACAGTGGTTTCAGGTCTGAACCATCCTGGTGTACTAGGCATTGAGGGCTAGGGTGGAGACGGTGGGTTGGGAATGAGGAGGACAGTAAGGGACTTGGGACTGAAAGATCTGGACGTTAGTTTGCCTTGCCCCAACCCAGTGTAACACCCAGCCAGCCTTTCCCCTCATAGAACCTTGGTTTGCTTATTCCTACAAACGGGCATAAGTAAGAGGACTGTGTCTGAGGCTCAGCCTTCATCCACGAAGCACCAGGCCAAAAGGCTCTGGAAACTAACTAGTATGGGGGCTTCCTGGGCCATGTCTTCCCTTTCTTCTGTGGCAATGGCAACCTGGAAGCTGGAGTGGCCACTTGCTAGCACCAGAAGCCATAGTCCTGGCTCACCGGAAGCTGCTGTGGAGAAAGTGATATGTATTGCTTGGGCTTTCCCTGATAGGAGGCCAGTTCCTGCCAGGAATAGACATTTCCTCTCAGGAACAGGAATAAGGCCAAAGGGAGCCTGGGCCTCCTTAGTTGGGAAGGTAGCCAGGAGTTCAGTGAGGTCACCTGTTCCTTGAGGCAGCCCAAGCCAAACCAGGCCTGCAGGAAGGATCCTGGAGCCATGGGGGAGTAACCAGTGCCCTCATGGATGGAACTGCTTCCTGCCAACTCCTTCCATGCAGTCAGCAACTTGCCCAAGGCCCCACTCTGCACAAGCAGGACTGGAGGTGTGGTGAACAAAGGCACAGGGTGTGCATGGAGCTCAAAGGTAAGTGAGAGAGCCACAGCAGCCACTAAATATAGAACATTATGACATCAGGATATATAAATGCTTTCAAGGGAAATAAATACAGGGGCAGGGGGTAGGATGAGATGGAACATTTTTAGAGTGGCCAGGACAGGATTTTCTGAGCAGGGAACATTTGAGCAGAGACCCAAAGGAAGAGATGGAGTGGGCTAAACAGCTAGCTGGGGAAAGAGGGTACCCAGCACAGGGATCGGCAAGTGCAAAGGCCCTGAGATGGGTACCTGCCAGGCATTTTCATGGAATACTCAGGAGTATGGCTGGGTTGAAGTGAGCAAGGGAAGTACATAGGAGATCACCTGAGGCCTTGTGAGTTCTCACCTGAGAATTTCTGGTTTTATTCCAAGAGATGAGATGGAAGACTCCTAGGAGGTTTTGACTGAAAGAAGGACAAGGCAGGGAGTCCAGGGAGGAAGTAGGGAGCCATCAAGGAGATGAGAAATGCACTAGTCCAGGTGAGAAACACAGGTACAGACCAGTGTATGAGGCAGGTAAGAGGGGTGGTGGGATTCTGGGTTTTCCTGTGATGGCAGAGTCAAGGGGATTGGTCAGGAGGATATGTGTGAAGGATGAGGAAGACGTGAGGGAAGGACTCCAAGGTGTGTGCCTGTGAAACTCCATGAGTGGGCCAGAGATTGAGGAGGTGGGACAGAAGCGGGCACCACATGGCGTGTTCAGCTGTCTTTTGCTGATATATATTCATGTTCCCCCCACCCCTTTCTCTCTCTCTTCCACAAATCCTGCTCTCGGCCTGTTTTTGGTTGAGGAAACAGAGGCTCAGATCCACCCAGAATTGCACAGGTAGCAAGGGACAGAACTAGAAGTGAGTTCACATGTCTCAGCCACAGAGCTGTTGGTCCCATCAGAACTGGAAAGTTACAGTCCTGTCTTACTCAGACTTCCATCCACCACGTCCTATGTGCCCACGACCCAGACGTGTACCTGGTGCTGAACTACATAGATGGAAATCCTCAAGCCAGCCCTCAGTGCAGACAGGGACCCAAAGAGGGCACTGTGGGGCATCCCAAGCTCCCAGAAAAGTAGAAGTCAGAATGTGCAGGGTTGAGGAGCTGGGGCTGGGAATGAGTGCTCCAGGATCCAAAGCCGGGCTCTGTAGCTCTCGAGCTGTAGGCTCTTGGGCCAGATTCTTAAGCTCTTTGCCTCAGTTTTCTCATCTGTGAAATGAGGATAAGAACTGCATCCATGTAAGAGCACTACAGTGAGGAGTCACGCTGAAAACCTTTGGGCTAGAGTTTGGCATGTGCTCCCACATTTTAGCATGATTAGTATTCCTATCAGGTCTCTCCAACCAAGGTTTGTCAATGTGCACCGAGGCCACCAGCTCTGCCTCAGCAAGCATCCACCCTCCAGAGGTGAAAGGAAGGTTCAGCTCCACACAGCTGGGCTCTGCTTTGGGTGGAGCCAGATCCAGGAGCCTGAGAATAGTGTTTAGGGCCTGACAGCACAGTTCCACCCCTGATGAGCTCGGGCAAGCTGCCTGCCTGCCTGCCAGTGGCTGTGTGGTTGACTTTCCCGGGAAAGCACTAATTACCACATGGCTCCCTTGGGGTCTGGCTCTGTGATCTGTCACAGACCCTCAGCCTGTGAGTGCTGGCTGCAGTCTCTGAGCCAGGGCTATCCTGCTCTCTGCCTTCCCCCTCAGGAGAGGACAAGAGCCAGGTGAGGAACAGGCTGACCCACCATGGGGAAGCTGGGGCTAGGCTCACAGACAGTTCCCATCTCGGCCTCAGCAGGCCGCTATTCAGTGTTTCTCAAAGTGCGGTCCTACAGCAGCAGCGTGAACATTAGAAATGAAAATTCTCAGGTCTCACCTGAGATCTACTGAATCACACGCTCTGGGAGTGGGACCGTGGTTCCATTTTTAAAATCCCTCCAGGTGATGCTGAAATCCGCTCAAGTTGGAGAACCCCAGCTCTGATTCCTGGGTAGCTGCGGCCAGAGGTGAGGGGTGATGGAAGGGTGATTATGAAGTGGGGTAAGTTGAAACACAGGCTTATGGAGACCTACCTTCAAATCTATGCTCTGCCAACACCTTACCCTGTGAGCTAGGACAGGTAACTTTTTTATATAATACATATTTATTGCCAGCCTACCGTTTGCTGTTGAAGGCCCTGGAGCTGCACCTCTGCAATAGTCAATATTAACTCATTTAACCATTAGAAGAAACCTTTTAGGTATGTAGCCCTATCATCACTCCAATCTGCAAGTGAGAAACAGATCACTGAAATATCTCTCCTCAAGCTAGTCTGAGAGAGCCCTGGAGTCTGAGCCTCAGGATCTGCTTCCAGAACCAATCCCTGAGCTGCTGGGTTAGGCTGACCAGTAGCTAGTGAGAAAGAGGGACAAAAATGTGATACAGACACTCTCTTGGCAGGTCCTGATGATGCTGTGAAGACAAAGTAGGGAAGTGAACAGGGCAGGGCAGAGCTGGGGGTGACTGCTCTAATAGGATGATCTGGCAAGGCCTCTGAGGAGGTGGCCTGTGACCAGGGGCTCTCAAAAGTCTTCTTTGTCAACTGTAAAATGAGGGGTTCATGAACTCCCTCCACCTGTGACATGAATATGTCACAAAAGCAAGCCTGTAAAGCACAGATGCTGAACTAATGGGAATTGTTATTTCCTGCAGAACTGAGTTCAAATCCTGGTGGCTTCAGCATCCTTTAGCTCTGTACCTGACGCAACTAACTCCATCTTTCTGGGCCTCAGTTTCCACAGCTACATCATGCAATGACAGCAGCCCCGAGAAGGGCTGTGATGAGCCTTGGCAATGACCCACCTAAGACTCTAAGCACAAGACAAGACTAGTAAGCCACCCCCTCCAGTCCCAGCCCTCTTTCTCTCCAGCCTGCCTGGTCAGCAGCCTCCCTCCAGGGCAGTTGGTTCCCTGGGCCAAGCAACCCAGGAGTCTGTGCTGTTTTTATTTTTATTGTTCTGGCTCCACAGCTGAGGTCTTCAGCTCCAAATGGCTCCTTTTGCCCAGAAAAATAGGTCGTTGGCAGCTGCAGCCTCTTGACAGGCCCCACACAAAGGCAGCCTGGCAGGCTCGCCTGCTTACGCAGGCTGGGTTACAGGAAGACAGGAGCAAGTGTGGGCAAAGCTGTGCCTGTGTGGGCAGAGCAGGTCCCTGCAGGTTCTAACACACCCAGCACAGTGGCCCTGGTCAAGTCACTTTCTGCCTCTGGCCTTGTTCCTCACCTCCCGGAACCGAGCAGAGTTCAGGGATTCCATGATAGGTCAGGCATGCCATGGCTGGGCACTTACCGTACAGAGACCTAGTCCAGATACTTTCCACATATGGGGCCACAGTGTCCTCTCTTATCAAGATTTTCCTTGTCATTATTCTTTTGCATACTGAGGCTCAAAATCCTTTTTTCCCCCCAAGTTGTGTAAGTTAAATAGCCTGACTGAGCCTGAACTTCAAAGGCCCAGATCCCCCCTCCCCAGACTCATTCAGGTCTTTTCCTGAAGGCCCCCAGACAACAGGGCAGGAATTAGACCTAACTATATAAAAGCATCCCTTGGGCTACTAAGGGGGAATGGGTCACTCAGGTGAGAGCTGGTGGAGGATCAGCCCAGGACATTAGCAGCAGAGATGTTGAGAGTGGCTTGGTTTCTTCGTGGGATGGGAAAGCCCAGCCTGTGGGTCACTGACAGCACAGCCAGTAGCAGAGCAGCCAAGGGCCAGTGCAAGATGGAGCCACCTCTGGCTTCCATCTCTCTTTCCTCATGAAACCTTCCTGACCCCCTTTTAAAACTGTGCCTGCCTTTCTCATCAGCACTCTTGCTTCTTCCCTGCTTATTCCTCCCTGAATAGCTATCCCCATCCAACACTAAATATTTTACCTATTCATCTGCTTGCTTCTCCCTGCTAGATTGTCAGCTCCTTAAGGGCAGGGATTTGTGTGTTTTTCTTTTTATTTTTCCCAACTGCAGCATGCCCACTGCTTAGCACAGTGCCTGGCACACAGCAGATGCTTAATAAGTATCAGGGAGTACATATTTGAACGAGATACCTATGAAGCCAGTCAGATTTTAATCCAGGGAAGCCAGACAGTTGCTATCGGAGTGGCTGATTCATATCAATTATCTGCCATAATCTTTCTATGGGACCTCAGGCAAATTGCCCCCAATTTGTTCATTGTTCTCTGTGCCCTCTGGCCATGGGTGAGTTTCAGGTGGAAAGAGAACAAAGTGCTCGCCCATCCACTCAGGGGCAGGAGTCAGGGCGAAAGGGGCCCAGCAATGGGAAGCCCTGCTGAGCGCCTTTGCCAAAGGTGCTGTATATAAATAGCAGATGGTTCAATTATTATCCTCCTAATCCGGAGCTTCCTAATCCCAGGCAGGTTTGTGTGTGCACCCTGGGGAGCCATGAACAGCAGAGCCTTCTGGAAGCCCAGGCAAGAAGTTCTCTTATCTCTTACCACATCTTATCACAGCACCCTACACACCCCCTAGATGGAGTGTGGTGCTGGATTTTCCCAGGAGCCTCACTGGTCACCTTTATGGTCCTTCCAGATGCAGATGTGGTCTGATGAGCTAAAGACTCTCCCTGTAGCCCCTGTCACATGATCCCAGACAACTTTCGTCCCTGACACCCAATTCCATCCTCCAGCCAGCGCTCCACTGTTCACAAACCTCCAGCGGCTCCCACTGCAGAATATTGTAGGTCCTTTCCCTCAGCCTTCAAGGCCACCCAGCTGGGCCACCTCTAGCCAAGCTAGCCTCAGGACCTGTATTTGTGCTGCTCCCCTTCCTGGAACACCTTTTCCCCCACATCTTCGCTTTGCTTTCCCTCATCCTAACTGAGCTCAGCCAGCTCACTCTCTAAACTAATCTTCTGTGTTAGTTTTTCTACTTGCCCACTTCTGTCTCCTCTACTAGAATGTGAAACCATCCAGGATGGAGACCTATTGTAATCTCTCATGCCCAAAGACATGAAAATCCCCCTGCACTTCAATGCTGCCCAGAACCCTGTGGGTTCCCAAGGACTGCCAAACACACACCTGTCAAACATTTTCATTACACTTGGTACATGCTAGGCTCTTTTTCAAATGTGCAAATATTAAGTCCTCTTATCCTCACAGTAGTCTTTCTAGGTTGGTCTCATTTCCTATGAGGAAGTGGGGCACAGAAACGATAAGGTATTTTCCCAACTCTACGAGGCTCATGAGACATGCCAGAAGGATATAAACCCAGGGAGTTCGGTCCATTTTTTCAACAGCTGTATGCTGCCTGCCTCTCTTGTCTTAGCAGAAAAGCAGAACCAGGGATTTCAGCAGGTGCTGGAGAGGCGAGGGGTGACACTGCAAAGGTCCTCAGCCTGGAAATCAAACACTGGTATCTTCTTTCTTCCCAGGCCTCACAGAGTGCGTGGCTTTAAACAAATCTCCTCCCTCTCTGGGCCCCAACTCCTTCATTTACAGCGGGGCCTTCTCTTCCTTTGCTTCACTATGTCCCTTAACTGTGAAGCAAAATTGGTTTTCTCTGAGCTTACTTCCAACTCAGCAACTCTCCAATTAGTGATGGGTCCTGAACTGCTTTCCCTCCCTCTGCTCATAACCAGCACTCCAGCTCCCCAGTTCACCACCTGACCTGGCTGCTGCTGTGAACACAGAATCTCCTCAAGGAAGAGAGAGAGAAGGCAGCGTTTCCTCAGGAATCCAACCTGTCCTCCTCTTCTCTTCCTCACTGCCTGTCATTCTCTTGGAGCCCAGGCCTTCAATGGCCCATGTCCCCCACACCCCTGCCTGGCCCTTCCCTAGCCCCTGAATCTGCCCTCCTTGGAGAGGCCCCTAGCCACGGAGAAGCCGTCTCTGGGAAGGCTCGGACCCTTCCCCTCTCTCTGCTCTCCTGTCGCGGGCCCCTCCTCGCCGCTCTCCCCCAGGGCCTCCCTTCCAGGCGGTACCGAAGTCCTTCCTACACACGCGCTATTTTTGTACCATCACTCTCTCCTTCCTCTCCCCCTTCCCCCTACATTCACTTCCTGCTTCTGCTGACCCCCGGCCCAGCTCCGAAAGATCTAGGCCCCTCTGGCCCACACCTACCCCGCGGTGGACCTTCTGCGCTGGGACCCCGGGCAGGGCCACTTGGGGAGGGGCAAAAGACAAACCTCCCCGCCCCCTCCACTTCCCACCGCTGCGCCGCCAGCAGCCGCTGGCGGGCGGGAAGCTGGGACCCACCAACCCGGCCGGAGTGAGCGGCCAACGGAGGTCGGCCGCAACTTCCCCAGTCCACCTTAAGACGAGGATGTAGCCAGCTCGCGGCGCTGACCTTACAAAAACAAGTTTGCGCGAAGTGGAGCGAGGGGCCAGCGTCGGGGCAGCCCAAGCGGCGCTTCCATTGCCTTGCAGCCTTCCCGGCGGCGCAGGTCCGAGCTGGTCGAGGAGCAGAGCGGAGGGGAGCGGAGGGGAGCGGAGGGGACAGGGCCTCTGGGCCGGGGCGCGCTGCACTAGCTGGGGGCTAGCGCGCTGCGAGCCGGAGCCGGAGTCCGTACGGTCCCGAGCCCGAACTGGCACCTCGGCGGCGGTGGCGGCGGCTCCGGGCTGCTGCCAGGGCCGGTAAGGGGGGCGGGGGACCGCGCGGGGGCGGCACTCGCTGCCCTCCGGCCCCGAGTGAGGCGCACAGCCCAGCACCCGTCCCCGCCCCCGGGCGTGCTGCTGGAGGCGGACGCGGGGCGAGGAGGTACCGGGGCCAGAGCCCGAAGCCTCCCCGGGTGGGCAGATAGAAGGAACGGGCTGGGCTCCGGGATCTGGGCGGGCGCGACGCAGAGCCGGGCGGGGCAGGTGGCAGCGGCTGGGGCGGCTTTGCTCCGGCCCGGCCGCCGCGCTGCCCCTGCCCTGCCCTCGCCGCGCGCTCTTCCTGCTCGGCCGCACTGTGTGGCTGCGCCGCGCGCCTCCCCGCGCGCTCTCCCCCTCTCCCTCGCGCTCCCCCTGCTTGCCTCCCAGTGTCTCTGGCGCTCCGCCTGGCTCCCTCGGGTCTGTCCCTCTCCCGCCGCCTGCGGGCCATCCCTGGCTTCATTTCGCGCGCTCTCGGGTCTCTCCCTGCTGCGTCTCCCGATCTCTCCCGGGGCGGGGGAGGGGGGTCTCCCACCATCGCCGCGGCGGCGGTGGATCCCGGACTGCTCCTGGCGCTGTGCTGGCGGGGGGGGGGGGGCAGGAGGGGGAGGAGGGAGCCTTAGTCATTTCCCAGCTCCTGCCCGCGCCGCCTGGGCGCGCACTCACGGCCGCTTTCCCTCCTCACTCCGCAGCCGCGGCCCATGGAGCCCGCCGGCCCGGCCCCCGGCCGCTTCGGGCCGCTGCTCTGCCTGCTGCTCGCGTCTTGTGCCTGGCCAGGTAAGTACCCCTACTTCGCGCCGCTGCCCTCCCCAAACTGCGGGCTTGGGCCTCTCAGACCGCCGCTGGGAGCCGCTCGGCTATTCCCGAACAGCCCTAGGGGGGAGAGATGTCTGTAACCAGGGTTATAGATGCAGACACTGAGGCCCAGAGAGGGCGGGTGACTTGGCCAAGGTCACACAGCCAAAGCTAGAATCCAGGATAGAACTCTTTCTATGAAGGCCTGTCTCCATAGACTTGACTGTGTGGTACTGTGCACTGAAGCTTAGGAGATGAGTTGGTTCACCCAGCCCCTGCCCGGGTGGGAGAGGCAGGCTGACAGAGGCTTTCAGAACAAGGCACTCTAGTGTCTCTAGAAGCTAGACTCATGCTTTTCACAGGTTTGACATCGGGGTCTGAGAAAGGAGGTGGAGGCAGAGGCAGTGCCTGTAATGAAACTGGAACAGGCTGTTGGATTAGGCAAGAGTGAGCTCCCGCTGGTCCGCAGAGTCTACAGTGTTAGTGTGTGGGGAGCTAAAGGGAGAGAAGAAGGAAGGCCCCGGGCTGCAGTGATCAACAGATCCTTCCTGAAATTTCGGTAGATTGTCGCTGTGGTTGGCACAGCCTCTGGCAACATGGTCCCCCTCCCTGCCGCTCACTGCTCCCCTTCCCTCCTGCTGTCCTCAGCTTCCGGGCAGACCCCTGCAGTTCAGGTGTTCCTCAGGGCTGTTACCTGTGGCTCTGAGGCTGTCTTTTTGTCGGCCTATATCAAACACCTGGCTGTCTTAAGGAGGCAGGCTCTGAAGGCTACTGTGTGTGTTCACCGAGGGGTGAGGTCACCATTCCGGAGTCCTGATTCTTAAAGGGGTTCTGAAAAACTGTGGGTCCCCTGGGAGGGGTGGAGGGGCACAGAAATGGAGTTGGGGAGGAAAAGAAATGTGGGGATCTTGTTTTGTGGCCTCTTGAAGCTATATTCTGGGCAGAGGGGTGCCTGCACCTCCCACTCTTGGGCAGGGAGGTAAAGATGAGCTCACTACCCCCACCCTCGTTTGCCTGGAGACTAGTAACCACCTAATAGCAAGGAGAAAGAGGGAACTAGCAAAGAGTGGGTGGAAAGAGAAGGTGGGAGGGGGTGGACAGCAGCTTCTCCCTGCCGGGCAGTTTCCCCTGAAACCCACAAGACGCTCCCCCACCCCAACTTCTTTTCAGTTAGAACCTGGTCCTTGCAGGATAGATAGAAGCACTGGTAGATTTCATGTCTCTCTTCTGAGTGGATCTCATCTGCTCCTTCTTGCCTGAGCCTGCCATTTATCTCTACAAAAAATTCCAAGCTCCTGCCTTGCTTTCCTCCCCCTGGCATGGAAATGCACAGGCAGCTCTCATAAGTGCTTAATTTTCCCAAAGCAGGGAACTGGGCTCAAGTTAATTTCTAAATGTCTGTTCCAGACCCTTCTCCACCCAGGACCCTGTGGTTCAGTCCCTGGCAAATGAGTGGTGATGCTAATTAATAAGTGTTCAGATGGGCAGCCTGCCTGAGCTGAGGTGCTGACTGGGAACACCAACACTTTTCTTGTGAACCATATCTCCCCCCTTTGCCTGTAAAAACAATCTATAAAATTGTAAAGATTGGACCATAAAACTTCCGTTCCAATCCATTCAGCATCAATAGCCTGAGAAAGTGGGAGCAGCAGAGGGGCCCGGATTAACTTTAAAATAAATAAATCTTATGAGGCAAGAATGAATTTCTTGGTTGAGGATGGTGCGGAAGGGATGAGGTATGGCCATCAGAGTTCCCAGCAGCCTTCACTGTGTGTTTCTCTGGGGTCCTGGGCACCCTTAGCCTAGGATGGAATTCATCTGGTCTGGCTGGAAGATGGGACATCAGGCTCCTCCTTCTGTGGTTAGGGGCATGGAATTTACGACAAAGCAGGAAGAGAGACAAGATAGAAGAGCAGGAAGGTAGAAGGCAGTTGTCTAGTTTTCTAAGAAAATGGATTTGTTTGAGTGAGAAACTCAAATGTCAGGCTTAGGAAGGAGGCTTTGGTTTGAATGACTGCTAGTGTCTCTCTGGCAGAGCTGTCATCCTGGGAGGAGTCACATGACTTCTGTGGCTTCACATGATCACTGGTGAGGGGTGCTGGTCATGTGAATTATCCTGGTTGGGGGTGGGAGGGTAAGAAGTTTCCAAAGATTGCATTTGGCACAAGTGCTGCCAGAGGGAAATTCTAAAAAGATTTCGATGAAGTCACCACCCTGTGTTCCTGGAGCCAATGTAAGGGCCCATTTTCTGACACAAATTGAGCTGAGAGAGACTTGGGACACCTGGGGTGCCTGATTCTGGGGCTACAAGGCCTGATACTAAACCTGCAGGCTGCCTGCTTGGCCCCACCTAGGCCTTGGAACCTCAGGGTCACCTCCAGGCAGACCTCAGATGAACTCCTTTGCCTTGGCCTAAAGGAGGCCAAGCCAAGTTGGGGTTCCAGCCTTGGGAGCATTAGGGCCCTCCGTAAGTCTCTGACCCTTGGTAGAGGATGGTATTTTGGTGGCTCTTCTGTACTTTCCTGAGTGATAAAGTTGCTCTCACTTCCTCTTTCGTAGGAAGAGATGTGGTGGGGGTTTGGCTCTGCCATGGCCCGGCTGTGAGGAGGTCTTGTAAAGCCATGAGTTCTCCGGGTACTTTCTGGCCATTAATTTTTCCTTTACCAACCCCGCAGAGACTCTTGGTGTGATTCATTCCTTTGCTTGCAGTCAGCAGGGATGAAGTCCTAATGCGAACCATGTGTTGAGAGAGGGAGGAGAAGCAGTGTTTATTAAGCAGTTAACTGCATTCCAGGCGGTGAGCTTTAGCTCTGTTATCTCATCCATCAGCAAGCAGGAGTTGGCTCTTATCCCCATCTTACAGATGAGGAAAACTGAGTCCAAAATTGGGGATATAACCTGTCCCACAAGTTAGTGGTAAGAGGTGGGGTGACTGCTGGGTGACTCCAATGGAAGCAGTGAAATGACTGAATCTGGATTTCATACTCTAAGCTTAAGGGGAGGGTGAGACGAGGGGGCCCCCTTGGGCTTAGATGGAGAGTTAGGGCTGGGCTCCTTCTCTGGGCAGAAGTTTAAGATGAGCCACAGGTGTCCTCTGAAAGCTGCCCAGGGGTGGAGCTCTGGCAGCCCCTTGGCCTTCACAAGTAACAAAACATTGGGGAGTGTTATGGCTCCTACAGGAGCCCCCCATCTGGGTTGCAGAGCTCTGGAGCCCCCAGAGCTGGAATGTTCCTGCATCTTCCCGGTGCCCTTTGCAACAGATGGAGAGGGGGTGTGAGAGAGGAAGGGAGTCTAAAAGTGTTGTGCAGATCCCACACGTACCCGCTCGCTGCTTCCAACGGCTCAATGCGACAGGTTATTTTCTTATTTGTAGCTTTGAACTGACGAAGGTTTCTCCCTCCTCTATCTTTTTAAATGTGCTCACATTTCTTGCCTGTCAACACAGCTCTGATCATGTCACTCCCCAGATCGAAACTGTTGAGTTGTTGGTCCAAGTTTTCTTTAAAAAACAAAACATAACAGCAGGGCCCGGAGATCCTCCCTGACAAGCCCTGCTTCTCACTGCATGTTTTCCAGCAGGCTGACCTGTTGAGTTGCTGCAGGAAACAGGGCTTCTGACCCTGTAGACTAGAGCTCTGCTCAGGAACATTAGTGCCTGAAAGACCAGAGGAGTGCCCGTTGAGGAATCCCAAGTCAGACATAATTGCCCTAATGTTACCAGAACAAGGAACAAAACACATCTGATTTGTACAACAGTCATTAATGTGCAACCTAACCTAGTTTGTCTCTCAGATTAACTCATATCTCTTATCTCTGTACCTTTGTTTAGGCTGTTCCTGCCATGAGAAATGCCCTTTACTATACCTCCTTGTCTTCCTGTATCTGAATCCTACTGTACCTCCTGCTCTAAGTGATTTCTTTCTCATCTGAGCCTCCAACCATGGGTTTTTAACTGCTACTGTCTAAGGCTACTTACTGTATCCTCCTTGTGACCATGTGCCTGTGTGTTTAGCTCTTATACCTGCTTCTGGAACTTAGGCAACCATTTAACTTCTCCACACAGAGACACAACATAGTCTTAGTGCAGTGGTGGCAAAACTGTGGCACTCATGCTGCAGTGAGCTGTTTGTATCATTGAGAGCTCTGAAAAGTTTGCCATCACTAGTCTAGTGCTACACAATACTGAAGACCCTGGGTGTCAGCCCCAGACTCACTACCTACTTGGACAATTTGCTGAGGTTCTCTGGGTCTCAGTTTTCTCACCTGTAAAATAGGGATGGAATTACCAGGTCTGTTTCAAGGACTAAGTGCATATATGCATCTATGACACTTCAAGCAGGCCTACTATGTAGTCAGGGCAGATTAGCCACTGTTGTAATCAGTATTTTATTCTGATTTCTTCATCTATAAAGTATCTAGCAAGGCTCTGGGTGCATAGTGAGGTCTCAGAAAGCAACTGAGGTGGCTGAGTGAGGGAATATCAGTCTCGCTCCACTTGGTATTTTCGCTGAAGCTTTTGTGCTTTTGTGCTGTTGGGGGATGGACAGGTTGCACAGAAACCTGGGCTGGTGCACTGTAATTGCAGGTTTCAGGACTGAGTGCCGCTGTGGATGTGTCCTGCCTCTAGGTGTCTCTGTCTGGATCCACAGATCTGGAATTGTGGAAAGCCAGAGAGGCTCCATCCTCTCATCCAGCACCTCACAGTGCAGCCCGAGAGAAAGAAAACACATGGACCTAGGGCCAGGCTTGGTAGGATGCCAAGCTGCCTGGGGTCTAGGCCAAGCCTTTTAAAAACTGAGCTGTGCTGGAAGTTTCCATCATGAAACCCAAAAATCTGGCAGGACCCTGAATTCCATGAGAAAATGCTAAAGTAATAATAGGAACCATCATTTTTGGCCCGTTACTGGGCTGAGGGCTTGGTGTGTGTGATCCTAGTGGTACCTTCAGCCATCCTGGGTAGTGTGCAACATTATCATCTGATTCATTTGATCAGTGAGGAAATAGAGGCTCAGAGAGGTGAAGCGAGATGGCCAAGGCCACCAGTGTCAGAATCAGATGACCACAGAGCCAGTGCTGTAGCCGTCACATCATTCTTTAGACATCACTTAGCCTCACTTGTTAGGTAGAAAAACTGAGGCCTAGGGTTGCTGGTACCCTGCTCTTTTGAGGCTACTCTCACGTTTCTGTCGGTCAGTGTATCCTCCAGAAGGTGGGGACAGTGGGTGCTTCCAAGAAGCACTTCCGCCCTGACTCACTCGGGAGAAGGAAGTATCTGTTTTGACAGCTGAAACCATTTGCCCAGCTTCTGGGGCAGGTCTTCTGATGGAGCCCTCCGAAGGATAAATCTTCCCTGCCTGTCTCGACAAACCCTCCATCCAGGGAGGTACACACCAGCTGAGGGGGAAGTCAGAAATGATACAGAATTGGCTTTTGTGTCTGTAAGATTTCCTGGCACGTCCATTTGGGGGCGAGGGTGTTAGATACTGCAGATCAGCACAGGAGCCGCAGGGAGGCGGGGGGGGGGGGATCAGGTGCTGGGATCAGGAGGAGATTGGAAGCTGGAGATTGGAGGGAGCAGTGGGCCTCCCTGCTGGGAGAGACCGCTGGATTGAGTGGGTGGTGATGTGATGCCAGGGCTGTCTCTACTGCCCTATTCTTCAAGCAGATCTTCGGTGTCCTCCAGAAATGGAAGCCTGTGGTAGGAGGAAATACTCAGCACACATGTGCTTGGCACAGACTGAGCCCTGAACACATGTTATCTCTGCAATCTTTTTATTTTGGAAAATTTCAAATCTGTGCAGAGTGAAAAGGAATGATGTAATGTATCTCAGCTTCAACACTGATCAGCTCCCCCTCATTGGTGCAGCACCTGCCCCTCGACTTGCAGGGGGCGTGGGCTTGGGGGAGTTATTGTAAAGTGAGTGCTAGAGTGGATATCATCTCCCCAGTCTGTGCTCTGATGTGCATCTCTTCATGTGCACCATTGCTTAATCCACACAGCGAGCCAGAAACCATAGGGTCCTTCCCCATTTTACAGATCAGGGAACCAAGGCTTCCCAAATCCAAGCCAGGCTCCTCCCAAAGCTACAGAGCCTGTGAGCATTAAAGCCTGGGTCCAAGCCTCAGTTCACTCTTAATCACGTTGCTGTCTTCATTAAGCTCTAACAATATTTTTGAGCACCTACTATGTGCCAGTAAATTGAACATCTACTTTATGCTGCAAGTACTTGGGAAGGATACAGCTGTGGACAAGACAGACAAAAGCACCTGCTCTTATGGAGCTGACATTCTAGTGAAGAAGGAAAACCAAACTCAAGTAAACAAACTATGTCAAGTGGAGACAAGTGCCAGGAAGAAAACTAAAGTAAGAAGAGAAAATAGAGACAGTTAGATGGGGACAGAAAGAAGACTTCACTGAGGAGCAGAGGCCTGGTGAAACTGAGGGAGCAGCCATGGGAATATCAGGAGAAAACCCTTCCATGCAGAAGAATAGCAAGTACAAAGGCCCTGGGGTTGGAATGAGCTCACTGTGGTCCAGGCATAGCAAGGAGAACTGTGTAGGGACAATGAATGGAAACAGGGATAGAGAGGTCAGGGCGAAACCAAGTAGGATCTGATTCACTGAGCACATCAGGTCATGTGATAAGATCAGTATGCATTATCTCATTGAATTCCCACCATAGTTCTGTGAGATGGTAACTATTATTTGGACAGATACAGAAAGTGAGCCTCAGAGAGGTAAAGTGACTTGTCTGAGGTCATGTAAGTGCAGAGCTGGCATTTGAATCCAAGCCCCTAGATGCTGCAATATCTCATCGCCGCTTCTGCCCTTGCCCCTATTGGTGTCTTTACCCATAGCAGCTGGAGTGAGTCTGTCCCTGTGCCCCACCTCTCAAGTTCCTACTGCTTTTAGAATAACACCAGAGTCCTTACCACATGCCCTTTTCGGGAGCATGTCTCTTTCTCTCCACCATCAGCACTTACTACTCTCCTGCTTCTATGAGCTTCATCCTTGGTGACCTCCTTTCTGGGCTTTGTCTGCCCAGGCTTCTTTCCCATCCCAGGGCCTTTGCACCTGCTGTCCTCCTGCTCAAATACCTCTCCTGGCCTTGCCTTCCTTCAGGTTTCCACTGCCATTTTCCTTCCACAGATGCTGTTCCCTGCCACCCCATTCTAAATGAGGTTCACCTTGTGATTCTCCATTACTGTGCCAAATTTGTTTGCTTCCTAGTGTTCCTACCCATTTCTATATTTGTTTGTTTCAAGATTTCAGTGCTGCCTCCCCCAGTAGCATACAAGCTACATGAGAGTAGGTACTGTCCTAGCTTATTTGCTGCTGGGCCTCACAGGACCTTAGCACAGCCCCAGCCCACAGTAGAGGGGTTAATCCATATTGGCTGAGCAGAGGAATAGGTGAATATGAGAATCACTCTAAAGAGGAGGACAGAGCCATGAGGTTGCATGGGCAAACCTTTCCCCTGATGGCCCTACAGTCCTGCCTCTGTGGCCCATGTCAGGTCCAGTCCACAAATCCCTATCCATTGTGCCAAACATCAGGAAGCACAGAAACCTCAGTACCAGGTGGGGCAAGAAGAGGTGGCAAAGAAAACTCAGGGTTCGTGTTTAAAATTCCAGCCCCGCAGAACCACCAGCCCCACTTTAGACACCATGATGGATGAGCAGTGCTGTGCACCATGAACCCTGGCACAGTAGGTGGCACACACTCTTGGACAGGGCTGGGCTGGGAGGGCCCAGCTTGAGTCAGCCTGCCCAGGGCCATCATCATTGCATGGAGTGGTCTGGGAAGGAGTGGGAGGGACAGAGTCAGACCCCTTGGCAGCTTCATGACCTTGACCAAATGGCCAAGCGTCCTTGACCTCAGTCTGGTCCTCTGTGCAGTGTGGGTAGTGACAGCTTGTCTCCTTGGGTCCCTGCAGAGGTTGGTGAAGCTGTCATGCCCTGGGTGACAGTGCTCATTAGCCGCTGTTCCTATTTCTGTTATTGTTGTATCATCATCATTTTATTGTATCATCATTGTAGCAATGGCATCCCTGCTCCATTACCAGCAGGGAGACAGAAGCCCACTACTCTGCTACTGTGAGCCTCAGAGTCCCCTCCTGGGAAGCACAGGCTTGGCCTCATTGCTCTCTGGCAGGGTGATGGGGCAGGAACCCTGGCTATGAGGCCCTGCCCGAGACTGGACCCAGCTCATGCCACACCCTGGCTCTGTGCCCTGGAGCAAGCATCTTCCCTATTCCAAGCCTCAGTTTTCTCATCTGCAAAATGGAAGCTTTATGGCTGTTTCTCCCTGAAACTTTATGGCCTTTGGAGGGTTAAGAAATCTAAGAGCTGTGGAAAGTGCCTTTGTGAGCTGCAAAAAGCTCTATAAAAGGAACCAGTGAATAATGTCAGCTCGGGGAAAAATCCATCCGGGGACTGTCTGCTGGCGGCAGCAGAGTGTGCTCAAACCTTGGCAAATGCCATTTAATAAATGTGTGTCATTTGTAAGGGGGCCTTTATCTTGGCCCGGAGAGTGTGGGCACATCCTTGGCAGGTCGAGAATGCAGAAGCCTGAGCCAGAGCAACCCTGTCTCAGCGAGAGGTGATCACACATAGTGGTCATGGGCTGCAAGGTTTGAATCCTGCCTCCTGGGTCTCCACATCCTCTTCTGGAGGGGGAGTGGTGAAGGTAGCAGTCTCTTCTCCATCTCCAGCCCAGCCTGTCCATTGCCCACTGAGAGCATGGCCTCTCAGCCCTGTGGTCGGTCTCAATGCAACAGTGGGGCCCAGAGGCAGGGAGGACACCACCTGGGCTCTCAGCCTCTGCTCCAGGCCTCACCCTTCCGTCCAGGTTCTATTTGAATCCAGCCACTAACATCAGGGCCTCTGACCCTCCCAGTCCCTGTTGCCCTTCCTGATGGTGCCTGGCCTGCCCACCAGCCCGCTCCAGAATGGTCTTATGCATAACCTTAAGGCAGAACTGGTTCCACCTCAGGGAGAGCCCTTAGTCCCACAGATTTCAGTGCCAGCTGCATGGGCAGAGCTGCCCAGCACTGAGTACCTACCAATGAGCCCGGTGTGGTGCTCAGTTCTTTACACATGCCAGCCCATTTTGTCTCAGCACCCCCTGGTGTAGTCATCGTCGTCATCGTCGTCGTTGTCGTCATCATCATCATCATCATCATCCCCATTCTTCAAATGAGAACCCAGAGGTCCAATGAGATTAGGATATTTCCTGGGGTCTCATGGGTGGGAGGGTAAGCATCCAAACCAAAACCTGTGCAGAAATGCCAGGCACTGGTCTAAACCAGGGGAATAAAACCAAGCCCTTCTTCTCAAAGGACTTATAAGGAAGTCTAGGGTAGGGAGATAGACACTAAAAAATTAAGTAAATACAAAATATGTCAGGTGATAGGTAATGTAGACAAATCAAGCAGAGCAAGGGCATTGGGGGAGTAGAATTTCATGCAGGGTGGCCATGGAAGACTCACAGACCTGAAGGAGGCAAGGGAGCCAGGTGGGTAGGGATCAAGGGGAATGAAAGTGCCAGGCAGAAGTAACAGCAAATGCAAAGGCCCTGCGGTGACCAGAGGATCTGGCGTGGTTGAGGAAGAGTGAGGCTCTCAGGCCCTGGGAATTACCATAAGGATTCTGGACCTCAGTCTGACTGCATTGGGCACCACAGAAGGACACGAAGGAAGTCACTTGCCTTGGGCTTAGAGACTGCTCTTGTTATAGGTAGATCATGGGTTGTAGGGAGATGAGGCAGGGAGGCCACTGTGATAAGGGTCCAGGTGAGCAATGACAGTGCTTTGGAGGAGGACACGGGAGATCAGAGTTGGATCACATCTTGGAAGCTGAGCTGGCCAGACCTACAAATAGAAGGGAGTGGGACATGGGAGAGTGAAGAGTCAAGGAAATGGTAACTCTTAGTCCAGCTTTTCCACTCACCAAGCATGAGCCTTCAGAGAAGGAGGGTTGCATCTCCTCTTTATAGGTGGGGAATCAGGCTTGGAGAAAAGCCACTTTGCCATATCACCCCACTGGGGAATGAGACGGACAGGTCTCTGGCCCCAGAGCCCGAGCTTGGCACTGGCTTGGCACCTTAGGAGTTTACTGCCACATGGTGGCAGTCAGGACTAGGGGAGCAGCACAGGGTCCTGTCCTCAGAGCTGTTCAGATAGAGCTGAGGGAGGAAGCCCACTTCACCGACCTGGCCACATGTCCCTGTTGTGCTATTTCAGTGCCATGTTAGTTTCCACCACAGCATCCGGTATCTCTGTCTGATGGGCTCACCCAGTGGTGCCAGCAGAACACTCTGGGCAACCCGAGCCACCCTGCAGGGCTCCAGGTTAGCCCTGTCCCAAGCGAGCCCCTCCCAGTTTGCTAGGATGTGAGTCCCCAGGTCTTGACCCTGGTCCCCAGATCATACTGGCTCTTGTCCCTTCTCTGTGTCTTTACTCTTGCTCCCTCCTTCACCCAGTGCAGGGTCACCACCTCCAGGAAGTCTTTCCAGCCCCCACTCCCAAGCCTCCTCTGGCAATGCTGATGACCTCATGTGTGTGAGTGGTCATTGCTCGTGTCCAGGACGCCCCACAGAGTGAGCTGTTATCAGGAACAGTTCCCAGCTTATTCCTCTGTGTCTTGTGGCATCTAGGACAGGGCCTGGCAACAGAGGGTGGCTTGGTATGAATGATTCATTCTGACTCTAGAGGGAAATCACCATGTGGCTGAGGCTATCCAGAGCCCCAAGCTCCCACATGGGAATGGTGGAATCCAGGCAGCTGTGTGCAGGGGTGGCCTCAAGGAATCCAGCCCCAGTGCCCTCTGCCTCCATGCCTGGTTGAGCACGCTAGCAGGGCAGCTCTGGGCAGGTCCTCCCTGTACTCTATGATGGCACATAGGAGGGAACTGCTCTGGGAGGTTAGTGCCACCTCAGGGCCAGGACTAGATGCAGCTAAGACCGGCCCAGCAAGAGCCCTGATGGACTCATCACAGATGCACTCTTGTGCTGCACCTCAAGATGTTCCTGCCCCATGTATCATCTCTTTACACGCTCACAAGCCCACGTGCCCCCTTGTGCCCACCCATGTGCACACGTGTGGGTACTTGTGCTCTGTACACTCAGGAGCAAACACACCCACTCACATCTTCCTTCTCTTGCGTTTGTACTCTTGTGCACACTCTCATGATGTGTTCTCCACACTTGCCCCACATCCTGTGTGCAAGGGGTTTTATTTTCAAGGGGTTAAAAACACTAGTGTTTATATATTTTATACATTCCTGTACTACACCCTGTGTGTGCACTTTCTCCACACTCTTGCATAGTTATGTTCACGTGTCCTTCTGCACACTCCTACAGTATACACACACAAGCCATTAAATCACAATCAGAATACACAAAAGGTTGCACTGATGAGATGTTAGGTTTCCCTTTGCATGGTAAGCTGCAGCCCCCAGAGAATGGTGAACCCTGATTGTGATCAGGGAAGGGGGAGCTGAGCTGCCTCTGCTTCAGGGCTGGAGTGTCATGCAAGGTGTCTTGGGATGCTGCATCTCAGGCAGTGCCAGGACTCTTCCCATGGCCTCAGGGAATGGCCAGCTCCCATGTAAGTGGCAGTGAATGTCCCCCTGAGTAAGGCCAGCTCTGAGGAAGTGCACACATCAGCTGTGTTCTCCCTGATGAGGCATGCTTCTGCACAGTAGGGGTCACCTGGCCCTGCCACCCTCTCACACACTTCAGTTCTAGGTTGATTTTTTTATCCATTAGAAAACTTATCCAGTTCTTGTGAAAGTTGTTTTTATCTTAATCTCAAAAGCCACGCATGAGCATTGTTTTTTAAAAAATAAATTTTTTAAAATTTTAATAAATTTTTTTAAAATTTTCAAATATGTATTTTCAAGCCCAGTGACCAGTTCTCAGTCCCCACCTTAAATACATCTCTTGATGGCATTTGACACAAGTAGTCTAGCTTTCCTTAGCCAGTTGAGGAAGAGTAAGAAGGCAGGGTGGTGGAGGCAGCAGGTCAGAGAAGGGTGTTAGGAAACAGAGTCAGAGGAGACTATGGGACCAGCTGTCTACTGAGTGGGGGCCATTCCAAATGCAGTCACTTAAGTAATTTCAAGTGTGTCTTCACTGCTAGTGTGCAGGCTCCAGGAGGCCAGGGACACAGCCATCTGAAGCCCTCAGTCTGACACACGGTCTGGCACATGGTGCAGATTCTGTAAATCATCACTGACCACCCCTGAGCTGTGGGCCACCCGTGTCCTGAGTTCCTCTTAAAGCAAACACATGGCAGTTATTTCCCTCTTAGGAAACCTATTCATGTGTTCTGCTTCATTACTTCTATTTTTTCTAAAATGTTTACTGCAAATATAAATACTTTATTATATTCAATATATTATTTACTATAAAGTAACAAGAAAATGTGCCCATTTCCCTCCTATCCTCCCCTTATATCCCAGGTGTAACACACTGCAACATGGTTGCATTTGTCTTATCTTTTTAGACCTCTTTCTCTAGGCATGCAGTTGGTCAGTCCATGAGCAAACATTTATGAGCATGTCTTCTGTACCAAACACAGTTATCAGGAACTCGGAAATAGCAGTGAACAAAACAGGCAAGCTTCTAGTTCCAGCACTCAGGAGGCTGAGGCAGGAGGATCGAAAATTCAAGGCCAGCCTGGGCAATTTAGCAACTTAGTGAGGCCCTGTCTAAAAATAAAATTTCAGATACCTGGTACCAAAAAAAAAAAAAATTCAAAAAAGGGCTGTACCTCAGTGGTAGAGCACTTGCCTAGCAGGCACGAGGCCCTAGGTTCAATCCTCAGTATTGCAAAAATAAAAACAAAAACAAGCAGACAAACAAAACAGACAAAATCCCCAGGGGAAAGTTCATTCAAACAATAATCATGTGTAATATGCAAGTGCGTGAATAGATATCTTCAAATACAGTGATATACTGTATGTATTCTTTGAATGTGTACCTGTTTTTGTGGTGCTGGCAATCCAACCCTGGCCTTGTGTGTGCTAGGCAAATGCTGTACCACTGAGCACTGACCTGTGTCCCTAGCCCAAGATACTATATGTGTTTTAATGTTCATCTAGTTTTAGAAAATATGAAAAAGACCCAAAGAGAGAGACAAAGATGGAGACAGACCCTATGAGTTTAGATTCATGATCCAAAAAATGTTACATTTCATACCTTTGGATAGTACCTTGCAGTTGTTCATAAATAATTTTATTTTGTCTTACAAAGTCACAATCATAATGGAAGTATAGGTTTTCCTGTCAGGTAAAAGGGCCGAAGACCAAGACCAGACCAGGCCACAACAAGCCTTTATTAGGGGAATAGATCTGCCGGGCTGTCTCTGAACAAAGGAGAGCGAAAGCAATATGGCTGGGGCAGGGAAAGTCTTTTATAGAGACTGGGGTGGGGTTTGTAGGGGCAGAGGTGGGGTTGAGTGAGGTAGTGACTAGGGAATGGAGGAGCCCATGATGTCACTAGGTGGTAGGAGGTGAGCGAGTATTAGGTTACTTTCTAGGCGGGAACAGGGGCATGCTGGGAAGAAGGGTTTATTCTTTGGTGGGAGCAACCATCTTGGCATGACATCACACAGGGGAGGGGACAAGGCACCATAGGAAGAGGGCGGCTACTATACATAATAGCTGCTGAGGTGGTGGGAGACCTATCATTTCCTTCTTCTCTTTCCTTGCACAAGTAATGCAAACAGAAAACATAAACAAAAGCAAAATCCCATGTAAATCTGCCACTGAAAAATAATCACTACTAATCTTTACTATCCTCCACACCAAACCGTAAGTTTGGGATCACACTGACTCTACTACTGGGTAACCAACTCTGACCTTGCAGCAAATGCCCACTACTTCTGCACCATTATTTTTATGACTGTGGATTTGACTGTCAAATGGATTCACCACAATGATATCAGCTGGTCTCCTTTCCTTGAATATTAGGATATTTCCAATTTTTCATTTCTAGCAGAACGCTTAAATAAATGAACTAAAATATTTGTACATATCCTTAGTTATCCGAAAGTGTGCTCTTACGTTGTTTTTGTTCACTTATATTTTAACTACAACACATCAAAATGTTGATTGCAGTTATCTTTGATGGTATTATATGAGATTATTATTTTGTTTTTATACTTTTTTGTTTCCTCTAAATTCTTTGCAATGAACAGCTTTTATTTGCATAACCATAATGTTATTTTAAAATGTCCATATTACTGTGGTGTTCATGGTAATAGTGTTTTATGACTGCCTGAAATTCCATGTAGGAAGCAAGCTGTCATTTACTTAGCCGTCCTGATCACTGGGCCTTTGGGTTGTTTTCCAACTTTTTCGAGGAGACCCCCTCCATATCTGAGGGTATGTATGTCTTTGGGAAACAGCCCTGTGCAGGCTCTGGCCATCCTGTCAAACTGCTTTCCCCACAGAAGGTCCCAGCTTCCCCTCCCACCACCAGCATGTGGCAGTGCCTGCTCCACCACCCTCTCCTCTAGGATGGCTCAGGCCCCTAAACAGGCACACACCCTGCCAGCAGGGCCAGGGAGAAGAGGAAATGGTTTCATCAGCAGTGCCAACATGGTGATCCCAGGCTTGGACCACAGGAGCCAATTTTTAACAAGCCCATTTCCCAGAACAGAACCTGCAGAGAAAAAGGAAAGACAGCAAGCAAAGAAAAAAGCTCTCTGCTGGAAAAAACACACACATACCCAGATTAAAATAATATTTGACACTTATGTTGCACTTTTAAAATTCTTAAAACGCTTTGTAAACACTAGCTAATTAATTAAGATGCCTAAATCTGGCTGCAGTTGGTGGAGAGAGCTAAAAAAAGGGTACCCAGCCCTACCCAAGTGCAGATTTTATTGTCGCCTGCCTAGGGTGTGATTACAGGCCTCCGGCTGCACCACAAGAATAACCCTGCTTCAACTTGCCGCACACTGAACCCACAGCCACTCCTGAATGAGGTGCTCCCACCTCAATGCTGACTCACAGGGTGCCACCGTTATTGATAAGGATAATATTAACTGGCTCTGTGATAGGCCAGTATTAGCTCTATTGAACAGATGAGGGAAGAGACTTGGAGATGGAATTTGCCAGGGTCACCACACAAATAAAATCCCACCTTCCACCATTTATCCATGTGTTCACTCAGCATATGTTTATTGAGGACCCAGTGTGTGCCAGATACTGCTCTAGGCAGGAGGCTGGAAATAGTTCCTTGTAGATCCAACATCCTAGTGGGAGATATAACAATCCTGAGAAAACCAAATATATCAATACAGCTATGTGATAATAATGATAGGAGCTGGCATTTAACCAGGGTGTATGTAGCAGGTGCTTATGTGTAGATCTGTCATGGTCTTCATGACTATATGGGAGTGGTGGTGGATGCTGAAACTCTACTTTGTGGATGAGGGCATGAGGGCCAGAGAGGAGGTGCTAAGCTGGGGGAGCCTGTTCTTGTCTGCTGGCCCAAGACCTGTGCTCCTGCCAGGCAGCATTTCCAGTTGGACCAGCCGCACATGCTGGAGTACTGTCTCGGTGCTGTGAGAATCAGGCAGGGCTCAGAGTGACACTGAGACCCTGTTCACCCTGCCATAAGAACTGGACCTCGGGTGGGCCCTGTGGCTGAGATGGGGAGAGAGGCAGGAGAATGGATAGGTGGTACCAGGCTTGCATTAAGGCTCTGGGTTCTCCCCATGAGGGCAGAGGGGTACATGAGCTTCCCTTCTCATGAGCACTTGCCTCCTGCCAGCAGTGTAGTGCCAGGCCCAGGGGCTGGTGGACAAACTCACAAGGTCTCTTCTGCCAGCCAGAGCTCAAGGGGCTACTTAGGGAGTCTGCTCCAGCCCTCTGTACTGGACAAGGTTACACTGAGGGTCAGCACAGAGCCCAGTAGAGGACCTGGATCACCTGTCCCACTGTGTATCAAGCACCACTCTTGACTGTCTTCCTTAAACTTCTTTTCCCCTATCATATCTCCCTCTCTGTCTTGCCTCTCAGTGCCTCTGCTACCTCTGTGTGAACAATTGTCTGTCATCCTTGAGTTCACATCCACATATTTGACCAGCCATAGATCAGAAATGTAGTTAGGCCTATGATGGCTGCATCTGTACTGAACAAGTGCAGATTTTTATGGTTGTTGTCATTATTCCCTAAACAATCCAGTATAATAACTTTTTACATTGCATTAGGTATCACAGTCATGTACCACATATCTTATTTTGGGTAACAATGGAACTCATACTACAGTATGAACCATATACCTAGGTATGTAAATAAGCCATACCATCTTGGTTTGTGTAATTATACCATAATGTTCACCCGATGATGAAATTGCTCGATCTCCATCATTAAGTGACACATGACTGTATAAGTACTCTATAGATGATTTACAGTATACAAGAGTATGTATATAGGTCATATACAAATGCGCTATTTTATATGGCACAGTACCCTCAGAAGGCACAGAATCCCTCCCTGGATTTGGAATCCAAGAGAGTTCCTGGAACTAATTCCCCACAGATACTGAGGGATGGCTGTATGTGTTTCTTCAGGGTCTTTATGACTTATCTGTTCTTTTTCCCCCATTTTCCTCACCACCTCACCTTCCCTTGGCTTAGAGTCAGGGACCCTGGCTGTGCCTTGTTCTGCAGCTGTTCTCGTTCAGCCCCTGGGTATCTGCAGCACAGCTCACAGCCACCACATCCTGCCTGGTCATCTTCCTGGCTATACCCTCTAACCAGTGCCCCCCCCCCATTAGGGCTCAGCTCACCCCTGGGGCTCCTGCCAGCTGCCCAGCCTGGGAGCCCAAGAGGCCTGGTTCAGCTCCTGCTGTGTCCTCACAATGCAGCCTGAGCCTGGCTTGAGAGGCATCAGCAAGGGTCAGTAGGAGTGAAGTTTAAGCAACAGCCCCTTCTTGTTTATTTCCTTTTTGATGACAACAGCTTCTCTGTACTCAGCCAGGCATTATGGGACTTCTTTGTATAATATCACTTTCAAAACAAGACAGGCAGCCTGGGAGGTGTTCTACCCAACTCATGGATAAAAAAAACTGAGAGTCAAAATAGATGGGTAAATTAGGGTGTCATGTGAATGAGGGGCGTACCAGGTTTCAAACTAGGTCTGATGAGTCTGGACCAGATGATGCATTTTGACGCTATCCTCAGCCTCAGCTTGTTTGGTCCTCCCAGAGATCCATCAGGATGACCTCATAGTAACTATTTTACAGATGAGGAAACTGAGGCAGGGAGCCATAAAAGGCCATGCCTAAGCCAAGGACAGCATTTCTATCCATGCAGCAAGTGGCAGTGGAAGAGCAACTGGGTCTTCTCACTTACCTAAGTGACAACCCCAGATGACACAGGATGCCACTGATCCACAACTCAATCCCATATTCTTTCTGCTATTCCACTACTATCATATGGCTGAGTCTGTCTTCCTGCTCAGGGCCTGCTTCCTGGTCCAGACCAGAAACAGAACCTATCAACAATGACTTTCTCCCATCTTGTAGAGCCCCACACATCCCAGGTGGCCTCCTAACCCTGCTCGGCCTACTCAGGCTGGTCCCTCTGTTGGAACACCGGGCTCCTTTCTGCCTGGTAAATGCAGATTTGAGTTCCAGAGCCCCGCTCAGACACCACTCTTCCACAGAGGGCTCAGGTAAGCAAATCCCCACTCTCCCATGTTGATTAACTTCTCTGTGCATCAGGTTCCATGTTGATATTAGAGTCTTGAGGTGCAGGACCATTTGAGGGTTACATGTCATAATACATGCGGAATGCTGAGCTCTAGTGCACTGGAGTGCTGTGCACTCAGTGAAAGTCATTGTTGTTAGACTCATGATAAACACCCAGGACCCATCAGGATGAATAACTGCTGTGTCTCCCTCCAGGAGCAGCCGCAGAGGAGACTCTGCAGGTGATTCAACCTGAAAACCCAGTGTTGGTCGCTGCTGGAGAGACAGCCACTCTGCGCTGCACTGTGACCTCCCTGCTCCCTCTGGGGCCCATCCGATGGTTCAGGGGGAAAGAACCAGGCCGGGAGTTAATCTACAATTTCAAAGGAGGCCACTTCCCCCGAGTCACAAATGTGTCAGACAACACACAGAGAGACACCAAGGACTTTTCCATCCGTATCAGTAACGTCACCCCAGTAGACGCTGGTACCTACTACTGTGTGAAGTTCGAGAAAACCACCTCTGAGGACACGGAATTTCGGTCTGGAAGAGGCACTGAGTTGTCTGTGCGTGGTGAGTACAGCGTGCGCCTCCCTCAGCCTTCAGACCTATTGTGTGACAATAGGTCAGGAGTCACACTCCACTCTGCGAGCACCAGCTAAGAAACAAGTGCTTCTTCAGCAGACCAGGGAAGCTGAGGTCTGCAGAGGCCATGCTATTTGCTTCAGGCTCCATGGTTCATAAATGGGGGCCTTCTGCACCCCTCATGTGTCTCTGCTCCACAGACCTTGTCTTTTCCACTGGGCCCCAGTCCTTTGGCTCTTTAAGTTTGAGTGACCTGCTGAGTTGCAGGGCCAGGCCTCACCTCCTGCCTCCAGAAGGCTCTTTCCCTTAGTGGCAGAGTTCTTTCTTTATACCACAGCACCAAGGGTCTACTGTGTGCAGATTGTTTTGATTGCACCATGGAAACAGGGAGCCATCTGACTGGAGCTTATCCCCCACCAAGCCTATGTTCCCCTCCTTCTGTGAGCACCAGTCTCTCTAGGACAGGAATGGGGCAGGACACGATTTCCTTGTTTCCTCTACAGAAACAGCTCAGTGAGACTATCCTGACAGGCTCAGGCTCCCTGTTGAATCTGATGCTCTGGCTGGAAGAGCTGCTGAGAAGTGGGCACATTGCCTTGGGTCTTCCTGCAAAACCCTGTATATTGGCCACTGGCTCTCACAGACACTGCCAGCTCTGGGTCCTCTGCTCACAGGAGAGTCCCCCATGTGGTTGATATAAGGGCTCCCCGGTTGAGGCAACAAAGTGCTTACTTTGGGTTTCCTTCCAGAGACCCAGGGTCCTCTTTCTAGTGCCTGGTTATAGGATTGTCAATAATAAAGACCTTTAGACCATTCAACCCAACTGCTATTTACAGATGGGAGCCTGAGACCCAGATGTGGCCAGTTAGTGCCCAGATAGGGACCAGAACACAGATCTGAATCAGGGCTAGGCTCCTTGCTTCCCCAATGTTAGATATTTTCTCCACAGAGGAGAACAGTAGGTACACAGTAGGTGCAAATTAAAAGCTCCTTGACCTGAACCACTGAGCAGGGAGCCAGCTTCTGCTCTTCATTGGCTTCTGAAAGGCTCAGCATGGCACAGACATTCAGAGCCTGAGACTGGTTGGTGATTAGAACACTTCCTTCAAACTAAAGCCATACATACAGTTCATTCCTTACTGAGACGTGTGATTACATAGAGAGCTACTTCATTGTTTTAACAGCTGCATTGTGCTCCAGCATCTGCATACATCATACATTTGACAGTCTTCTGTAGGTGGATGTTTAAGTTGATAAGAAACATGTGCTGTTACAACAGTGTTGTAGTGATGACCTTGTACGTCCATCGTGCTGCATAAAAGGGAGAGCCCCTGGAAGAGGCCTGCTAGGTCAGAATGAATGTCTTCCGTTCATGCCGATGTTGCTAGTTTTCCCTCCCGGATGTGGTAGCATTCAAATCTCATAACTCCTGGACATAGGCAGGGAAGGTGGCTTCATTCTGACTTTGTGGGTATCACAAATCCACATGGTGTAGCCTGAGTGTAGGTAGTCACAGCTGGTAGGTGGCTCAGGCACAACTCAATCTGTTGACTCCGAGGCCACAGAGGAAGAGCTTTGTTTCCCCGGCAAAGGTTGTTCCCCATGGAGCCTGGGGAGTGAGATGGTTTAGATTAGCATAGGGTGAACACAGCAACCTGGTGCCTGTGTGGCAGGGCAGGGACATCTCTCGAGGAGCAGGCCCCAAGGCCACTGAGGGACATCCCAGAGACCTACTCAAATCCCAATCTCAGTGTGGGACCTGACCTCTTACGCATGTTTGTGTCTGGACAGGCACTGGAGCTCAGCAAATCCTCACTCTTCAGCATAGAAACCTCCCTTGATGAACCTCAAATGACCCAACATGTCACAAGGAATTTGTCCTTTCTCCCTTCACAGAGCTTCCAGCTCTGTAAACAGCTGCTTTGGAGGATGTGCCTGTGATCTTGCCTGTATTCTGGAAGCCCGTTTACCAACCTCATTTTCTTTTTTTTTTTTTTT